AACCCCTTACCTGAACACATCTCTCCTTGCACCAACCCCAGGCAAGCACCACTTCCCAGAAAACTAATGCCCAGTTGGTGGCCCAGCCCCTGCCCTTATATAGGTGTGGCCCTGCCCCAGCTGCAGTCCCTTGTGAACATTAACCCTATCCTGGCTGAGCCCAGGGCACATTTTCACCCTTTTCTCTCTCTCTTCTGGTTCTCACCTTTTGCATGATGCCCAGCGAGTGGAAAAATCACTGGAACTGTGTCTCGTTTACTTCTCAAGTATTGCTTGTGTTTGTGGTCCAGAGGTGCATGCAAACCTTGCAGCACTCAAAGACAGCGCTGCCACAGCCGCTCCACTCAGCAGGCGTGTGATGGCTCATTTGCTGGGATCTCAAGGAGCAGAAAAGCCAAAGAGGGGTTTTACTTCACTCTAACAGAGAAAATTTATTGTTTTACCCGTAAAGCAGTGTGTGATAGGTAAAAGAGTGACAGGAAAGGGGAAGTAAAGAGCGGAAAGGGTGATAGCTACCACTGCAGGTCCAAGGCGTCCCTGTGGTGTGAGGCCCAGGCAGCGTCCTACCAGCCCTCCCGATCAGCCCGATCCTTGGTGGAGAAGGCTTCCCAGATTGGTTGCTAAGAAGCCATTTTGGTACCTTGCTCCTCCTCCATCTCCACCTTTCTCTGCCTCAGCAGTGAGGCTTCTATGGAGTGCCCAGGGTGTGGTCTGCATTGGAGGTGGGTCACTTTAGACCAGGTGTGTTTTTGTATTATAATGAGCAAAGTTCACCAACATTCATGATTTCTTCATCACTGCTGAGACAGCAGTAGTGACCAGCGTTCTACCCTCCTTGGCACAGTAAAGCTAGCATCAGATTTTAGCCATAAATGCCTGAGCAAACTAAAGTATTACTGAGGCAACTGAAGAAGGGAAGAAGTTTCCCGTGACAGTGCAAGGTGCAGTGGTGGTGTTGACCTTTTTGTCACTGTTGAGCAACACGGTTTTTGAGAACAAATAGTCATTGAGATAAATTCTAATGGTTTCGCATCATCTAGAATAGTGCATTTGTGTGAGGAAAAGAATGCTCTTAGTACAGTGGAGGACTAGGAGTTACTGGAGGACATTCATCAGCGAGGTTACCTTTTTTTTGGGGTAGGTCTTACGTACTTAGTGTAACGAGTATTTGTAATAGTAGAATTGAAGCAGCTTTCAAAATACTGTTTTTTATAGACCACTGTGCACATATCTGTGGAAACAGAGCTAAGGGCAGAAGTTGCAACACTACTACGTGTTCTTTGTTTTTCTGCAGGTATGTAGAAGCTTCTGAAGCAGTGGCAGAGGAGGCAGACAAACCAAAGCTGAAGACTGTTGCTTTGACCTGTGTTTTAAACATTGGCGCTTGTAAACTAAAACTGTCAGATTGGCAGGGAGCCATTGAGAGTTGTTCAGAGGTAAATTAATATTTAGCATTTTAATTAACAGTTGGCCCGTATAGAAAATGGAGACTGAAACTACAAAGCTTTTTTTTAAAGAGTCTTCTGACAAGCTTATGATTTGAAAGTAAACAAAGTAGAAGGCTGATTGTGAAGTTATTACTAACTTTCCAGTGTGTGGCTTTGTAAAAAGATTATGAAATTGGAATGACTTACTAGAAATAAATAAAAGAGGGCTGTTGCTTATTGAGAGAAAAAATGCAAACTGTCATTGTCTGGTTTGCAGGGCTGATTTTTCTGTTACAAAGAGTTAAACTGTCTTCAGTGAAAGAGGAATTCTTTTGAGGAGTAGTATGAGCAAAATGTTTTACGTGCTTTTAGATTTGATGGTCTTCTGTTTTAATCAATTTTCTAACTAAAGCCCTTTCAGGCAGGCTGAAAGGTGAAACAAAAGCAGTGAATAGGGAGAAGGAAATATTAAAAAATAATATAATAATTTAAAAAAGCAGTAGTGACATAGACATACTGACGGATTTTAGTGCAATTAGGGAAGCTTTAAATAATTCCGTAAAACTGACATTTTGAAGGAAAATGAGTGAAGAGTGTTCTTATCTGCTAGGAAAGGGTCCTGATCCTTTCATGCTGAAAGCCAGAGTCCGGCTAATCTCTGTGTGAGGGGTCTTTAGAGAGCTGGCTTGCTTTATAGCCTGATGATGGTTTTCCACATGGAAAACTTTCATAAACCTGTATACAGTATGGACAAATGTGGAATGAGGAAAGAAAAAGAAAGCTGTCACGTGGTGTCTGTCATCTAGAAAATGGTAAAAATTGAAACAGCATTTAATTGTTACAGATAGAAATTATTAATCACAGTACTTGCTGTTGTGGACAAAAACTCCCCTCTTTTTTTTTTAAGATTCCAGAATAGTTCGATAAAAGCAGCGTACCAGTGTTTCAATCAGAACACCAGTTTCTTAAGTAGAGTTCAAGGTAGTTCTTAATGAGAAACTTTAACTTTTACGATTTCCTAAGGCGGAAAGCAATTTAAATTAAGACTATAATACGTGTATTATTTGGTGTCAATAAGGACTTACAAACAGATGAACCTGTTCAAACAAACCTTGCTTTAAAATAGCTGTGAGCATAATGGTCGAGCGAGTAAACCAAGGAGTGCTACCTATGGGTATACAGCAGAGACACCAAATTTTCTACCTAAGAACCTTGAGTCTTTATGGCAGAGATCAGGATGAGCAACCAGAGCAATACCTCCTTTATATTAACAGCCAGTACTGAAGTGACTTGAAAAAATCTGGATCCATCGTCTAATGTAATTCTTAATGATTTGAAATTAATAAATGAAAATAATAAAGCCACACATTCATGCAAAGAGGTTTCCTCTAAACACTAACAAACTATATTCTTTATAATAACTTTTAAAAGACACACTGTAGAACTACCTGCAATAAGAAAAAAGAACACAATTTCATAGGCAAGAAAGCAAAACAGATTATTAGCCAAATTAACTGAATTACTTTGAAATAATTAAGTAATCAAAGAGTGGAACAATCTCTTTGTCCAGCCACTGTATTTCCTATTTTGATACTGTCATATTAGAGCTGGCATATATACAACTAGTGAAACCATTCAGCTCAAAAAAGGTGTAATAACCAAAACTTGGCCAGGTTTGTGAGGCATGAGGTGGATTGCTTGTATGTAGCTTTCTAGCCTGCAGTGGAAAAAGCTTTACAAGACATCTGCATGTTTTCCTGATGATGCCGTTTGAGGGTTTTTTGATGTGAAGGAAGGAGGTGCAATATAGAGGACTTAAGGTTGGGATAATTTGAACTGCAGCAATGCCTTTGCCTTGACACGTAGGCAGGTATGTACACACGCAGAGGTTCCATTTTATCCTCACGCGCGCTGCTCCTTCCCAGAGGCTGCTGCTGGCGCAGTGGAGTCAGAGCTGCTGAGCTTGCTCTGCAGCGTGCTACATTACAGCATTCCTTATACACACTGCATGTTTTGACACATCACCCTCAAGCTGAGCAGGGAGATTGCCTGCTGGTGGGAACTGTGCCATTTGTGGAGATGGGAGGCTGCGAAGTATATGAAATGTTAACGTGACAATTTTATTAAATTTACAGGCTCTTAAAATAGATCCAGCAAATACTAAAGCTCTCTACAGACGGGCTCAAGGATGGCAGGGAATAAAAGATCTCGATCAGGCATTGGTAATGATTATGATACTTAATTGTATTTTTTTTTTTTTAAAACCTAAACATTTAATCAGAATGTCAATTTATATTTATTTTTTGTTTAAGGCTGATCTTAAAAAGGCTCATGAAATAGCCCCTGAAGACAAAGGTAAAATAAAGCTGTTTCTTTATAAATTCTTTACTTTTAAGAGCCACTCTGGTAGAAGAACGTAGTTTTATACAGCAGTGGTGTTTCTTTTGTGCTGGGGAACCTTCTTATGTAGGTCAACAGTATGCCTCTTAAACCATGTCCCTATCTTCTAGGGATCTTACTGACTTTCTTGATTTCCTGGTCTAATTGTATAAGATTTTTAACTCCTCAGTTCTGGGTTGGCACCAAGACTACACTTGCTGCACCCTTCTCTACCTGGCTACCTTACCAGGTGGAAACAAAGGGACAAGGGGTATTTCTGCTGCTAGTATGTGACCTAATAGAAGACTAAATGTAGTTCTGTTAAATGAAATGATGAGTAAGTTGGTTCTTAATATATTAGGAGATCTTATGTAAAGCAGTTGCTGTAACTGTGTCCTGGATTTTCTTTTTGAACAGCTATCCAGACAGAAACGCTCAAAATCAAGCAGAAGATAAAAGCCCAGAAGGAGAAAGAGAAGGCAGCTTATGCTAAAATGTTTGCTTGATTTTTTTTTTTCTGAACTTCTGATCTATGCACTAACTCATGCAAAAGGTTAAGTGGAACTGCTTCTTTCATTTGCCCTGTACTGCAGTCTTCTGTGTTTACAACTTAAAAGTCTAATAATAAAGACAAACTGTTCAAAGGTGAAGTGTTTTTCTATTTTTAAGCTGTAATAACTTGTGTTTTGCAACTTGGGTGTGTTTCTAACATCTAAATCAGTAGTGGTTGTGTTTTTGGAGCTTGTTAGTTTGTGCTTCCTAAGAAGCTTGGTTTCACAACAAGACAATTTAGACAGTTTCTGTTATGAGTTTTTATTAGAGCAGGCCTGATTTCTTGTAAGGAATAAAAATGGTGGTAGACATAAATGAAAGTGCAAGTATGACACTTTTTTAAAACCGCTTTACAGGTTGTATTGCAGATGGGCTCCCTGTCATCATCGGGAGGAAAAAAACTCTAATTGTAAATTTGATGTAAAACATGTAACAATTTCTAGAGTGATGTATTTTCTCTACTGCAAAGTAAGATTACATATAGTAAATCACTCCAGATAGAGAGAAAACATACTTTTTTTTAAGGATAGGCACTAAACTCTTCCACCACACCCACGATTCTGGATATGGCCCCCATTGTCCCTGAAGTTCAGCAATAAACCCAAGATCCAAAGTTCCTTTGTCAGTCCCAAGAAGAGCCGCCTTCTGCAAGCCACACAACACCTGTAAAGAAGTCCTATTAAATAAGGCTAAGGTTTAACCAGAAGGCACCGACCTTCCATTTAATGCAAGAGTCATGCCCAAAATTCAGAATGGCACATTAGTCTCAAACGTTCACATTCAAGTCAGTGCTGTACTTTAATTACACTGCAGCATAAAATACTCCAACTTATTTGCTGTCGATCAGAAGTCACTGAATAGATTTCCCATCAGTTTACATCCCGTTATAGGCTGGTCCTCCTCCACCTTCAGGCACTACCCAGTTAATGTTCTGGCTCGGGTCTTTAATATCACACGTTTTGCAGTGGACACAGTTCTGAGCGTTTATCTGCAGTCTTGATCCTTCTCCTGTTTCCAGAGGAATATATTCATAAACTCCTGCAAAGAGCAAAGGAGAGCTGTCACTTCACTGAACAGTTTCCCCCAGCGTGTATGTGCCACTGCTGACTAGCACGTGTAACGAGGGAAGTGCGTCAGTACTATGACTCAGCTGCCTTCTTCCACATCCACCAATTGGTTCATCATGGAAGTACGGTTAACGTAACGTATTTTGAGACCTGCACTTGAACCTTCTTCTAGGAGGAGGATTTGGATGGAATGCTTGAAGCAAGCAGTAGGGCAGGTGGACCCTTCCTGAAGTACTCAGGTCTTCCACCTTGCACAACCAGCTCAGGCACTCATTTTTATTACCTACCTGCAGGACAGAACCTTTGTTCTGGCCCATCGAATAGGGCCAGGTTCCTGCTCACAGGGATGCTGTCGTCTCTGAGCGTTAGGTGAGCAGGCTGGTCATGTTCGTGGTTCGTACCACTTAAAGCCACAGATGACAGGAGATCAAAACTGATTTTCCCATCAGGCTTTGGGTATTCAATAGGCGTGCAATCTTTGGCTGGCTTCAGCTGCGCAAAATCCGGTCCTAAACATGGTTTTAATAAATACGCTTCAGTTTAGAATTGCTGTAATTTGCAGTTACTGAAGAACATCTCAATTCAGCAATTTTAACTACCCTTGTCATCAGAATGAAGCTTCTCATAAAAAGTAGCTTTTTTTAATGGCACAAAAAAAAGTATACTAAGTAGTGTTTTAACGGTTTAATTTACATTATATGCTAGGTAGTAGGACAAAGTCCTCTTCAATGCCTTACCAATTTCTTTTCTATACTTTAAGGCCACTTGACCAGATGTGCTTTAGCTTCAACTAAAAACAGGAAAGACTGATAGGCACATTTAGTGTCTTCGTTCAGGAGATAATGAAATTACCTGGGTGTTTTAATGTCCATGGCTCCATTCCTCTCAGCAGCCAATAAAACAGGCCCGTGTAAATCATCCCTCCATACACACCGAGTATGCTGTGGCAGGATGGCCGGATGTTTCTGACCGCATACAGCTCCTTCCAGACCCACGAATTCTTCAGGTTCTCTTCATATTCTTTCACATCAAGTCCTATGGCAGCACATTACTAGTTAGGTACCTACAGTACATAGAGGCTTCTTTACAAGTTCTGCAACCACAAAGACTCAGATTTCAGTAACTATGACAATGGCCCAATGGATGATGCCAGTCCTAGAGAATGTTTTTTCTCCCTTTGCCATGAGCAAGTTAATGAGATATATTTGGCTACCAACTTTTTATTTGAACTGTTTGACTGTACTTTACAAGTTCTAGGCACTGCTCACTTGACACATGACCCATCAATACGAAAACACGCTTCAATCCATTCTTCCTGTCTTGCGTAAGGCTCTGAAAAAACCTTGTTACCTATACACAGAGAAGAAAGTGTGTTGTAGTATTCTGTTGTCTTGACAGAGCTGGAAGCAGCATATAAAACCTGCCCATAATCCCACAAGAGTGGCACGCTACCCAGTAAGAGTGTTTATTGTTTCAGGCAGGTTCTAAGCGTTTTCACCTGTTACAATAGAGGAAACTTTAATTGTTCAACGTATGCTCTGTGGCAACGTGGATTGCAAGTTTCAGCTGCACAAGAGCTCAGGAGGACTGAAGCCACCACTACAGAGAAGAGATTTCGACAATAATCATCATGTGACACCTGGCTGTAGTGTCCATCTCCAGAATGATGGACATTCTAATTGGCTTTGCTCTCTGTACAGTCACTGTTAACAGATTTAAGGGAAAAAACGAGGCTTAAATAAATGGCTACAATGCAGTCAGGATCAGGTGATTACTTCAACGTGCTTGCATTATGTATAAAATAAAATAAAGTAATCTTAAACTGAAAAGACTAAGAAATTAAAGGCAGAAAATGAGAACTGAAGGAAAAAAAAGTATCCTAAAAACAGTGAAGAGCAAATGTAAAAAACCTCATCCTGTTTTGCTTACATTTAATCTGTTCTTATTTTTTTCTCTCTGATTCTGCAGTGTTTCAGTAACATTTTTTTGAGCTGTAAAGCTCTAATTTTTAACCAATATGTAGGCACGAAATATATGCTATTCTTGTTTACTTATACAGGGAAGGGAAGCTTACTTTTCAGATGCTTGTGAAAGGTGTATTTTTGTTCTAGCAGTAGGATCAGGACTTAAGAATAACTGAGCAAAACTACATTAATTTCTTTCCCAAATCATTTGACAGTATAAATAGTAAATAAAGAACAAGTATCTTTAAACCACCACACTCATTTAATGATTTATTTGCATTTCCAACTAACTCCTTCAGATAGATTTAGCTACTGCTAAGCTGCCAGTGATTCTAATTGAACACAAGGTGATTCCTTGTCAAAGTACAGGGATCTTACCTATTGTCTTTGACTGGAGATTTTCATTGGTTAATTGGCTAAAGATGGCTTCTGAAGCCAACATGCCGCTCTTCATGGCAGTATGTGTCCCTTTGATCTTGGGAACATTCATGAATCCAGGACTGCAGCCAATTAATAATCCACCTGGGAAGGTGAGTTTGGGTATTGACTGAAGAAGAAAAGGAAAGAAAAGCAATTTGTTTGTTTTTGTTTTTTTAAAGTGAAAATAACCTTCTGGAAAGGAAGCTGGCTTGAGTGTCCTTTACATTTCTAAACTTGCATGTACACTGTGTAAAAGTACACCAGAGTCAGTCCACTTAATCAGGGAATTTTGACATAGTAAGCAAATCAGAATACAGACACTGTACTGGAGCTCAGTATAAATTAATGTCAATACAACATTTTCTTTATATCCTCTCTCCAGTTTCTTTATCTGCAACATGACTGTGGTGATGTCACCTACCGATGCTGTCTTCCTCCTTCAAGTTTAAGTGAATTCTTTCAGGGAAAAAAAAGACATTTTTGGTCCTGTTTTCCACACCGTAAGCTGTATACATCTCATCTCACCGTTTATTCTTGGTGCTTTTCCAGAAATCTTTTCTATGAAAACACCCGGTGGCCTCCCCATCCATCCCCTCCAGTCCCACTTGTTTTAGAAGCTGCTCAGCAGCCAACAAATGCATTTTTGGTGCAAAATCATTCCTTACTTCTGTAAGAAGCATGTGATTGAGTACAGTCAACTCACAAACTTCAGACAGCCAAATGATTTGCAAATGTCAGGTCTATAGTATTAATACACTGTGTTATATGGCTAATTTAACTGACGAATACTTGAACTATCAAGGTAGCTATTCCCACACTCATGCAATGAGATTGAGATTTTAGACAGAGAACAGCTTCAAAACATGGACTGACTGCAGCACTGTAAGAAGAAAGCTGTGATCAAATCCTAGGTCTGAAATTGCGGAAGGTAAGTCACGAACGCAGCCCTTCCTCCAAAAGTCTGTATTACGTATATGCTTGGAATGTAACCCTTGGAATTCCAGCTAATCTGAAACAAACATTTTGTTTCTTCTGCTTGTTCTATTGTTACCTGTTTACTATTCACCCAGGGCTGGTTACTTTTGATTATTCCTAGAGCAGCCACTAAAACACCTTGTACTACACAGCATTCCCCCTGTGTTTTGGGCAATTTGTTTAATCATAGACTTGGTGATTTGGTTCACAGGAAAGGTAATTCAGGCTGAAAACACAGCTACAACTTTTAACTCACTTTTCAGTGACCAGAAGTTTTAAGTTCAGCTACATGACAGTGTTTCAAAGGAATTAGGTCTGTAGGATGTCCTCTCCTTTCACAAGACTTTTGGCTGAAAAATGTTGTCATACCTATTAGGATGCAGTGATGCAGCACTGACATAAGCACAGAAAGGCTTCTTGACTGACTCCTGAATATCATAAAGAGATGGCAATCAAGTACTTTTCTTCCGCAACCACTGTTGTCACTTAATAGGGCCATAGTGCCAAACATACTATCAAAGTATAAATGAGATTAAGAATTAGTCATGTAACACAAAAGGTTACCTGTCCTGAAAGTTTGTTAGTAATTCTCATCACCATGGCACTTGGCCCGTGTTCACCATCAGTTGCAGGAACACATCATGCCAGTACAGCACAAGCCCTCCCTGCCCGAGATACAGGGTGAAATCCCTGCAGCCTTGAGAGCCTGGAGAAGCCACCACCACCAGCAGCTTGGCAGCAAAGACAAAACAAGGCTGGTTTGGAGGAGGGAAGAAGGGGAGACACCTGCTCCCTGCAGAGTCCTTCCCTCCAGTGGGCACTGAACGTCACGTTCACCTACCCTTAGCTCAGCTCAGGGTTGAAAATCCGTTACATCTAATATTGGATACTTAAGGCAGGGGTCATCAATATGATGTTTTTTTTCCCCTTGATGTTCATAATATACATTGCTCAACAACACAAACACCTCCTTTTTCCCCACAAAACTCTTAAAGCTTTTCAAACTTTTTCATAAAATAGAGACATACAAAGGTTGCATGGGAATTTCTTAATTTTAACTGCTTTATTTTGCTATTTTAAAAAACAGAGGAAATAACAGATATATAGATTTAATCTATTAAACTCTGCCCCCTCCTTCCACATACCCCAAGAAGCTACAAAATCAGGGAAACATCCAAGAGCAAGCAAGCTCTCACACCAACTCAGTGCCACTGTATGATGAAGACTAAAGAGCGTGGTGATAAGGTTCTCTGTAACAGACAAAAGGGCTTAGATTGATATTCTATACACCTATTTGATGCAGTACTGTCATCAAAATGAAAACTAGAGCTACAGAACAACTTACATAAGAAAATATTCCTGGACTCCAGTGATGCAACAGCAGTCAGACTGCTACAGTTATTAATCAAAGCAACACACGCAAGGGAAGAGCTAATCTTAAAAATCTTCCTCAGTGAATCATCAATACAGCTTTTTTTTTACTGAAAGCATGTATTAAAATAAGGCTATTTCCAAGTGTGACTTCATGATTAGACAATTTGACCTACAGGAAATAAAAATCAAACCAAACCAAAACACGCCTTTGTATTGGGAACAGTGCAAAGTAAGTGGCACGTTGTTTTAAGTCCAGCAAAGATGCCCAAGGATTAAGCAGAGATGTGCAAGAGCTGTAGTGCTACTCTGTGTAACTTAGCACAATGCCTGTGTGTAACTTAAAAAATATCATGTTCTTTCAGCCATATGTTCCAAGTAGAATAAGGAGTATGAAACTAAAGTCACAATCTGGCTACTCCATCAAAGCCAGCAACTCAATAATGACTGTCTGCGATACAGAAACCAGTGCAGAGAGTTGAAAGAGAAGCTCCTCTTGTATCAAAGTCTACATTAAAACATCTTGGTATTTTGTACCTTATCTATCTGAATAACAGACCACCAATGGTTTCTGAAATAAGCTAGTAACAGCCATCTGACAACATGATATGACAGATTTCCACTTTGGAGCAGATAAAGTAATTAACCTGCAGATGGGTTAAATGTCTACCATGTGTGTCATCAAGAAGTTCCTCCATGGACTCACATGACTCAGTCCCAGGCACATACACTGGCTCAAAGCCTAACTCCACAAGACTGTGAGAAGAGTTATGCTGCTGCTGAAATTCTACTTGTATTGCAAAAACCACACGAATCCACATTTATACTAAAGAGGGGGCTCAGAAAGAAAAGACAAAGTAGTCCTAGAGCAGAGTGGAACGGCCACCCTCCTCAGGCTGCAGGTCATGAACACTCAAGCCAGGTTGAAGCTCCAAACAGAAGACAGATCTGGGAGGCCCAGACACACAGCCACGTGCTGTGCTTCACAGCTCCTACATGGCAAGCTAACAGATAGAAAAGACTTTAGCTGTTAAACATGCACACTAGGCTGTTTCCCCTGCAAGCTGTTCTGGCCCTTTCCACTGACCTTAAGTCCTGATGGATACATTTTAAAATTTCACCTGTTAGATTCCTTAAGGCAACAAACTGAACAAGGTATTCCATCTCCTAAGAAGGCAGGAATTCAAAGCTGTGCATGAAACATAGTGAAGGTATCTTTTACTTGAGGAGATCAAGACTTTTACCTGCCAAGCTACACAACAATTTCAGCGCCATCACTGACTTAAGGGTCAAGCATTGGAAAGAAGTTACCCTCAGCTAGGACAAACACATAATTTGGAAAATATGCACACACACACACACCCCCCAAACAAGAGGTGAGTGGTGCTACCTTCTCTTCCCCAGGGTTCCAGACATAACGAAGAATTATATGTAACTTCTTTGCTGGTGAATACATCTGACAGCAATATAAACTTCACTTCACATTTAATTCAGAAAGTAAAGTGACTATGTCACCAAAAATCTATGAAGATTTTTAGCAAGACAGAGCCAAAATCTAACAAACCTCAGGAGCTAGTATCCAACAAGATAACAAAGCTTTTTTGTCCAGAAAAACTTCTTTCTTCAGTTTTATGATAGTTCAGTTGTTTCACAACAGCATGCAACCCAAATCTACAGCACTAAAAACATGACTACAGAGAACTCAAAGTCAAAAACTTCACGAAAAATTTACCTGGAAACCACCTTCATTTAATGCCCTGGCACCATAGGCAATCCTTGTTCCACCCTCCAAAGTAGGCTGTACACTAGGATGGTGCTTCCACCTCTGAAACTCCCTAAATGGATTCAAATAGGGATTTTGATAATCTAAACCAACCTTAAACAAAAACAAACAAAAAAGCACAACATTAATGAGAATAAAGTATGAGATTTCAACAAAATTTTGCAAAGAAAACAATCACATATTACCACACCATCTCTTTACATCTATTTTATACTGAACCAACTTCAGAATCTTTCTAGTTAAAGAAACTACTACCAAAAATACATTTTATTAACAGTATAGTAGAAGCAAACCTGAGAATTTGCTGTTACAAGACTGTTCTCTGCCCTACCTGAAATCTAAAGCATGGAAAATATTTAACTGCATTGTAAACACTTTCCACCCTTCTTTGAAATAAACCAGCCAAATTAAATTAAGCATTGTTTAATGGGCAGGATAAGGGAAAAAACTTGTTTAAATTTGTATTTCAAAACTTCTTTGCCCTATAAAAGTTGGAAGGAGAGGTAAAGAACTACATCTAGATAGTTATGTCCTTGTGCTCACGTATCTTAACCAGTTCTTCACATCGTTTAGCAGAGTCAATTGTCACTCCCAGTGAGGTAAGCCTCTGTAATAAAGCACAAGGGACCAGCGATAAAAGCAGAAAATGGGGGGAAAGAACTCTGCCAAATGGTTGGATGCCCAGGATTCTTATCTTACGCGCTTGAGAATTTGCCCAAAGATACACTCTGCATTTCCCATCTTTAATATACTCTTAAAAGGAGTTAAGATGCCAACTTTTCTCTTTTGAGAAAGGAATTATTTTCTGGTTCCTGTAAGCTGTATTTGAGACAAATAAAATATATCGTAAGTCAGCAACAAACAGCACCTTGACTTCTCTGGCAGCTCACTGCTTT